TCAGTGGACAACATGGTTAACATGGATTTGCACTTCCTACAAAGCTCAGGAACCAGCATCCTTCAGAGGACATCAGATATTTATTTAACACCGAAAGCTTTACAGGCCAAACTCTTACCAACAATAATTCATAAACTGATGCACTACAGTAGGTATGGAAGCACTTTTCCGCCATGTGATAAAAAATAGAAAATTGTAATTGCTACTTCTCACAACTTTTTTTTACTTTTTTCCCAGCAGGGGCGTCATGCACTCATGATTTTTGAGGGGGCACGAGTGCGGGTGGGTGGGCTCAACAGAATCGTCTATGATTGGTTATAATGCAGTGCTGTACAAATGCGTCTGTCTCTGGCTCAGGGCCAGCCAGCGAACGCAGATTTGAATTTAGCAGCTGATGATGTGCCGCGAGGACGATTTAATCACGCTGGTGTGATTGTATCAAATATAAAAAAATATATTATTCTGCTATTTTTTGTCTTTTGGAAGCTGCATTCAAAAATCCACTTGGCTCAGAAATCTGTATTTCACTTCTTGCAAAATCTGTATTTTAATCCCAGTATTGCAAAGTTATATCTCACAATTCTGACTTTATATGTCACATATCTGGCTTTATATCTCACAATTCTGACATTTTATCTTGCATTTCTGAGTTTATATCCCACAATTCTGAGTTTATATCTCGCAAATCTGAGTTTATGACTTACAATTCAGAAAAAAAAGACAGAAATGTGAGATATAAACTCTGAAAAATGTCTGAATTGTGAGAAAGTCGCAATTACGTTTTTTATTATCTTTTATCCTATGGAAACAATCTTCCATAAGTAAGGGTTCTCAACTTTATTTATGATCCCACCTCAATATTTCTCTAAATTACCACAACTTCATTTTTAACAAATATTTAAAGCAAAAACATTCGAACTAAAAAGCTTTAAAAACATTCAAACTGAAAATTAAAAACGTTGACTTGTCAACTAAGTGAAATTAAATAAGTAAATAAAATAAATTAAAAGTAAATAAATAAAACTGAAATAAAAATAAATGAAAGCTAATTAGAAATATTACATAAAACTAATAAAATTGACTAAATTAGTAAAACTTTAATTGAAAATAGAAACTAAAATTAATTCAAAATATTAATCAAATGATACTAAAACACTGAAATTGCCCACAAACTGTATATTTTTACACAATAATTACACTTTTGTTTATTAGAGCTATTGTCTCAAGGACTGTCAGGTTAACAGATGTCTTTCTGATTCGTATGACTGTGCATTTGCAATCAGATATCAAATCTCTAGACCTGAAATGTGCACATAATCATCATTATATAAGATGAAAACAAATAAATTGAGCTAAATCACTGTTAGTAAAGCCTGTGAGTAAGGTAATCAAGCCAACTGAGAATTAGATGCAGAAAGAATTTAAGCTTTCAATGAACCAAGTTCCCATAATCTAGAGTTTAAACATCATAAGAGCCATTGCAAAACTGTTCAGTGCATAAACACTACGCCAATGTACAAAGGTTCAACTTTTAGCCACTATCCGTTTCTCTCCAAGCACAGGGCACAAAAAACATCACTTCTGAGGACTGAACAACACAGTTTAGTCTGCGGTTTCACAGTGGCAGTAGACGGTTATTCTCTGTACTTCTGAATTATTCATTGCACCAGCGGACCACATTCACTCACTCTCTCCTCATGGTTTGCATTAGACAATAAAACTAGTTTTTGTTTTTTTTACATATTCTGAAGACTCTAAAATTCAGTGTGAACTTTAAAACAATGTGCATGAGCAAAAGCAATAGTGATGCATGCCTTAGCAAAGAAACTACTAATGAAAACAATATCTGTGTCACAAAAATTAATTTTTCTTCCTCTACTAAAATCAATGGAGAAAGCAATATTACAGATAATGGACGCAATGGTTTGACGTTAAAAATATCCTAAAGATGGATTTGTTTTTTACAAACACACAGCTTTTGGCTTCTCAAGATGTTAACTGATGGACTGGAGTGGTGTGGATTACTTGTGGATTATTGTGATGTTTTTATCAGCTGTTTGGACTCTCATTCTGACGGCACCCATTCACTGCAGAGGATCCATTGCTGAGCAAAGGATGCAATGCTACATTTCTCCAAATCTGATGAAGAAGCAAACTCACCTACATCTTGGATGGCCTGAGGGTGAGGACATTTTCAGCTAATTTTCATTTTTGGGTGAACTATTTCTTTAAAGACCAAGGGGAATGTTAAAGAATCTGGTAACTAAAAAGTAGCATGTTGGCAGAAATGCAGTAAAGTTGACGTGACTGTTTAGGGAACACTTCCTGACTGATTACGTTCAATGTCACAATCGATCACATCTAAAGAAAGTGAAAGACTCAGCAGCTCTGCCAAAATGTGCCAAGTGATTCTTTTTAAGAGGTGCCTTTATACGCTGAATCTAATTCCAGATTCTGCAAGCAAGATCCAAACTGCATCAATTAAGGCTTATTTTGTTTGCAGGACGTGCAAGCTGATAAAAATCTGTGGAAGGACACAACCATACAAGCTCTGATAAACTAACTCACTTGCACACAAACAATTTGTGGTTCAAAAATACAAAATACACTAGCATTCAAACATTTGGAGTCAGTAATATTTTAAAAAAAATATTCAGAAAAGATGCATTAAATTGATTAAAAGTGAGATTTGTAGATTTATTTTTCAAAAAAATGCTGTTTTTTTTACTTTCTATTCAAAGAATTAAAAAATATATATATACATATATAATGCTTTTTACAAAAAAGTATGAAGCAACAACTGTCTTCAACATTGATAATAATCAGAAATGTTTCTTGAGCAGCAAATCAGCATATTAGAATGTTTTCTGAAGATCATGTGACACTGAAGACTCCAGTAATGATGCTGAAAATTCAGCTTTGATCACAGAAATAAATTATATTCTAAAATATATTCAAACCGACAATGGTTACTTACATTTTTTAATAATATTTTACAATATTACTGATTTTACTCTATATTAGGTCAAATAAATGGAGCCTTGGTGAGCAGGAGAGGCTTATTTGAACTTACCAACCTCAAACTTTTAAATGGTAGAGAGAAAATGTATGTGTATGTGTGTGTGTGTGTGTGTGTGTGTATATATATATATATATATATATGCAAATATGGAAACAAAGATGTTTTGTCTATCATTGAGTGTTAAATGTTATAAATATAAGGACTTGTGAATGTATGTGGGCCATGTATACCTGTCATCTTGCAAAATGACTTCCCAGGGTATTTGGATTCTGTTTTCTTTGCTTGTCTTTTGGATCCAAATTAAAGAATAAAGTGTGTGTGTGTGTGTGTGTATAAAACCAAACCAAAACAATAACGAGCATATTTAGTTTTCAGGAATTGCAATAATTGGATTATCCAACTTAGCTGGATAAATTTCAAGCTTGGTTAATTGAACAAAACCCATGTTTATCCTGGAACTAAGCAAGTGAACCCAGAAAAATCTACACAAGTATGCAAACACACGCAAATACTGTCTTTTCAATCCCTGACCTAAATTAATTGATCTGCGTTATGACAGCAGGTGAAAAAGAAACCATCTTTGCGTTGTGCAACAAATTATGGCCCATTTCTGAACACTATGCATTAGGGCTGCACGATTAATCGAACGTGATTAATCGCGATTGTCATGCACATTTTGTCAGTAAAGCCGGTTCTGTGATTAGTAGTAAATCTCCATCACCTGCTTTCAGGTGGAGCAGCATTTACTACACAGAGCCGTAGTTCTCTGACAAGCTACGCAAAATCGCGTTCATAATCGCAGACGATATAATCGTAGGATTATGAAATCGACGAAATCTTTCGCAATAGGGGTGGAACGGTTCGCGGAAAAAAATCTAACCGTACGGTTCTCCACACACGGTTCGGCACGCGCTAGGACCGCGGTTCAACTTAAATCTGACAACGCATCTGTAATATGGTTTGCTATAAATAACACGTAAAACAAACAGGGTTCGGCTAATGTATGTTTCTGTTGATGGATGTGCATTCTGGCTTCCCAATACATTACAACAACAGCGATGAAAAAAAAAAAAAACGTGGACAAACCATTCACTCTTGTTCAATGCGAATGCCGTATGCTGGAATATGAGCAGTCATTTATTCCATCATCACCCGGGTGCTGATAGCGAGCGCGCATAGGTGAGATCTGAACAGCACACGTTGATATCTGTGTTTAAGCTAAACTCATTTATTAAGCCTTGCCAGTTAAAACATTTAAGAGCCAGAGGACGCGAGCTCATGTCAAAATGCCCGTCTTGGTAAGTATCCTATAGCAGACATAGCCGGCTGAATGTACAGTGTCTTAAAGTGACAGCACTTTCTTAATATGTGCTTGTAGTTAGATAGATTATTCTTATTTTCTTCATTTTTATTTGACAGTATAGTTTTTCCCTAAACATAGCACATACCGAACCGTACCGAAATGTGACTCTAAAACCGTAATACAAACCGAACCGTGAGTAAGTTGAACCGTTCCACCCCTAGTTTGCGATAATGAAAGCTGTTTGCGTTTCCTCTCAGTTAACTACGGCTCTGTGAAGTAAATGCTGCTCCATCTGAGAGCATGTGAAAATACCACATTTAATAACATGTTTTTACTA